ACAAGACTAACACATATCTAGTAATCTCCCGACAATTCACGAAGGTTCGAGAAAGAAGTGGCGTGATACTAGTCACGTGACCTCGCTGACGCAACAGTATGATAGGAATGGATGCAACATGCATGGAAATATAAACGAGCAAAACAGTAGTTGTTGCAGGCTTCTCTACACATAAAGCCTCGTTTACTGTGTACAGTGGGCATAATGTACCCTTGTTAGTGTATTGCTTACTATAGTAGGGAAGTAAATTCTCCTAACACTCGGTATACAACATTCACCAAGTTATTGCGTTATTTTCGCTGTAATATTTTTGAGGGGTTCTGGTAGTGACCCAGTTACCATATACTACCTTTTACCTAAGCTGGCTTGTTTATGGTAATCATTCAAATTGTCAAAAGAGAGTAGATCATTTTCATCTTCTTTTTTTTTCCAAGGAATGTTGATGAGCGTTTTACGGTATTCCGAGGTATAGGTACAAATTATGTCACGAAGCATGAGCGACTACACAACGTTGTGTCAACGATGTCACGGTGTTAAACTTAATTGTTAGTAATGCACTTGATGTCGATCAGAATTTTGATATAATCTATATAAACTTTTAATCATGTTTTTTAATGTGTGTGTGCATGTACCCTGACATTACTGTAAGCGGTTTTTTATTTCTACTTGTGAAAAGACAATCTTGTTTTATGCAGGACAACCAAAATATCGTTAATGGATGTCATTCGTTATGATAACCATTCAAAATGTCTTAAATTTGTGCACTGTCATACACTTACAGTCGTAACTAAGTAGTGTTTTCATGCAACTTGTACCAAAATAAGAATGTTAAGAAATATTCAGCGAAGATTGTGTGCTTTTGAAATGTTTCAATCTACATGATTGAAAATATCACATCAAAACTAAATGAAACGTTGGGTGCACCAAGTTTATTTTGGATATGACACATCAACTACTTTCAGTGGACTTCATTGCCATAGAAAAGTTCACCAGCTTATGAATATTTCACTCCAATTCAACAGAAAATATTCCTCACTGACGTTGCCAAAAACTCTGGGTGAAAGCATGTTTCCCTAAAATGTTGTTTCTGTTATCTCTAATGAAAAATTTACCTGCAGAATGTTCCAGTGTCAAAACTGACTATGTTATTTCACTAACATAAATTAATAAATTGGGTGCACAATATCTTCCAATGATGCTTCAGAGGCAAGTATTCACAATTTCACTTCATATATGTCACTATTAATACTGTATTACTCTGCTAGATATTGTGATTGAGTCATACAATGAGTGGTCACAAGTAAATAGACACCTAATTTTTCGTCATTTAACTGATTTATGCTAATTAATTTGTGTTCACAGAGCACTATATAACTGAAAATGGTCCGCAAACTAATTATCTTGTGCTACAACATGCCTAGAACTCAAGGTTCTCTCGAATTGTCAGATTTTGTTAGAAGAAGGATAATTGGTCAGGCAGATGGTGGAATAAGTCAGCGGCAAATTTCGCAGAATTTGGGAATCCCGCTTTCGGCAGTC